TTTGAATACCTTAATGATGCATCTGATTGACAGCAATAAGGGTTAGGGTTCTCAATCTTTTTAGACTTGAGGCACCTCTTGTTCAGCTCAAGGCACCCCTCAGGAAATGCCAGGTCTTATTTTTTACTGTTTTTTTGACTACAGAAAGAAACAGAGCAATTCACTGTTGCAAAGATCTCAGAAAGGCCACCACAGGTCATGGATTCCTGTGTGAAATCTCTGGATCTATTTTGTGGATCATACTTGCACACCTAACCATGCTAACATTGTGTATCCCTGTGGCATTTTTGAAAGGATCTCAAAGCACCTCAAAGCATCCTGGTTGAGAATCATTGGTACTGGGGTTAATAACAGTAGTGTTCTTGAATTATATCTTAGAATAACAAAACTGAAGATGGAAAAGCATTGTTCTCTACTTTGTTTCCAGTGTTTTGTCCAGAATCCAAAAAAGAGGAATTTCCTTCTCCATCAGACAAAATTCCAGTGAAATGAGTCTTGCATTTTCTGACATTGCTCCAAAGCTGTCTCTTGCTGAATTTCCTTATTCTGAGTATAACATCCTGGAATGTCATAATGCTGCATTTGAATCCAAATTCTCTACTTTTCCTTTTTCAAATTCACCTGTGCACACAAAATAGAAATGCGAATGTGAAGATCCTGACAGAGACCTAATTATCCAACTCCTTATCTTAACTGAGTTTATATTACAATGTGCTATTTGGCTGAAGTTGGTACATGGTATGTTAAAGGAAGGCCAATTTCTTAGAAATTTCATGTTGAGTTGCACTTCTGATATATATCACACACAGAATTGTGTGAGCTGCATTTGGGCTATTGATTTCCAGTTACATGCTTTATTTTCCAAAAGTCCTTTTTTTTTTTTTTTTTTGATAGCATAATTCAATTAACACTGAAACCAGAGAACCAGAATTTGGTCTCACCTCCTATAAAGCCAGAATTGCTTCAGGTGTGGCTGAGAATAGGATCTGGCCCAGGATTTTGCATCTGGGCAATGTTGAGTCTCTTCTGGTTCCTTCTTCTCATTAATGTCTGCTACTACTCATTAATGAAGTACAATGACCATGAAATTATACGCATCCACCAAATCCCACTCTGTCCCAGTGGGCATGTCTACATGTGTATTTACGCCATCTTAAATTTGCTGGAATTTAAACAGGAATAGGCCAGCATCTACACGTGCAGGTGTTAAAGCACATTAACACTGTGTGTGGACTAACCTGGGACTAAAGTTAGTCCCAAGTCACTCCGTACATACAGTGTTACTGCGCAGTAAGGCATCTAATCAGGTATAACTAATCAGGTGTAAATTTGATACCTGCATGATGCTGGTATCAAATTTATGCTCAGGTCAGCATAATTCACCATATTTATTGTGCGGTATGGGAGTGCACATGTAGACATGTGCCTGTACTGCGCAGTAATTTTAGTTACTATGCAGTAAATGTACAGGTGTAGATGAGCCCAGTGAGTATGAGACCTTTGGGAATGTAAAGGATCTGATTATGAAATAGAGGCTCTTCATTACAGAGCGAATAGTTCTCTGAAGGTATCAGTTTGAAGACTAGGCTTCAGATATTGTATTCTAGCAGGTCCTTCATCAGGGAAACCCCTGCTTTCTGCCCACCTTTCCTCTAATAAATATGGTAACTTCAGAAATTTATTTGCTCAAGGAAAACTGCATCTCTCTCTGGTTCTCCATCAAATGAACTCTGAAGAAACTTGCAGAGAAAGTTCCTTGTCTCAATTTTCTGATGTAAAATGTACAGAAATGATTTAAGAGTTGATAAGAAATTTCTCTTTTCCTTGAGCCAAATATCCTGCTAAATAATTGAATTCTCTTTTATTAGCAAGAGACAAGTTGAAGAAAGAAGTTGAAAGCAAGGTAAAAACAAGAATCACTTTGCACTGAAGACCCCAGAAGAAGATGGATGAACTCCATGTAAATACATTGCATTGTAATCCATACCTTGTCTCATTACAAGAGATCCTGTTTGTGTGCTATTGTAATGTTTGTCTGCTTTTTAAGTCCAGTTACATTAATCTAATATGGGATTTGCTCCTGGTGAGAGCCTTCTCCTTGCCACAGATTATCTGCTATTTTAAATTAAGCTTTTTTTAAAGTCTGTGGCTGAGACTGTTCAGATCTGCCAAGGCCATTTTTTTCAGTCCTAGATTTGCTCTTAGGTTTTAATAAGCAACATTTTTTCATAAGGAAATATCTATCTTTTACACTTTTTAACATGCCAGCCACTGCTCCTTGCCATGCATCTTGAGTTTTCCATTGTGCCTCAAGCTAGCTTCCTATGGATGTTTGTGAGACATCTCATCTCATGTCACTTGCACAGAATACACATCCGGGTCACTTGTCCTCATTCAGTGGAAATTCTGCCAGTCCAGACAGAGCTGTGAGAAATTCAGCAAGAGCCATTGCTTGAACCAAGAACATAGTTTCCCGAGGGCCTTGTATCTCCCTCCCCTTCTGTTGTTACAAAGACGGATATCAGTCTTGGTTCTCTTAGAACAAAGCAGAAGGAGCTGCATGTTGATTTTCATTAAATTAAATATATCCTCAAGTCTTCTATCTTCTGTGCATAACAGCCTCTCATTCAGATTTCACTCATGTGTTGATTCTGCCTGCTGAAGGGTGCTTTTTATAGTCAGATTTGAAGACCTTGGTCCCTGCTTGATAACATCTATCCCAAAGCCCCTTCCTAAGGATTATATGTTGATATTTTCTCCTGTAGAGGTAATGTATTGAGTACATTTTGTGTAGCCTCAAAATTCTGCTAAATGAATTATTCCAGTACTCTTGTACCTGTTTCATCTTTCATGTTTTGGATCTTTTAAACTGTTGCTTTAGACCAGGGGTAGGCAAAGTCTGACTGATGGGCCAGATCAGGCCTATGGCAGACTCCATTTCCCAGCAGCCTCTCCCTGTATTGCTGTGGCTGGTTTCCACGGAGACCCCAGCAATGGTGGGGCTGTGACAGCGCAGAGCCAGGGTTTCCATGGAGACCAGCCCTGGCAGCACTGACAGCTGGGCAGGGAGCTGCTCCAGGGCTGGGATCTTGTGGCGGTGACAGCGTGGTCCTGGGTCAAGGAGAGCTGTGATCCGCTGCCTGCACATCCTGGGACAGGGGCATTCAGGCAGCGGATCATGGCTCTGCCCCAGCTCTGGACCATGTTGTCACCACTGCAAGATTCCAGCCCCAGAGCAGCTCCCTGCCCAGTTGTGTGCCCTACCAGTGCTGTTAGGGACAGTCTCCATGGAAACCCTGGCCCTGCACTGTCACACCACCACCACTGCTGGGGTCTCCATGGAAATTGGTCGTAGCAACACCAGTTTCCAGCACCAGGGGTGCTGGGAAATGGAGTCTGGTTGCCAGCCAGATCCACCATTTTACCCACCCCTGTTTTAGACACATGCAAGGCCCCATTTTTAGGAAGAACTGAATCGTCCAAAACTCTCCTTGGGCTTTAAAAACTTGATTTTTTTTTTCTGGTTCTGAAAGCTTTTCCTTTTCAATGCCTCAATTTGGCCAGGAAGAGTACAACAGCACAGACCAGAGTCTCCCAGTACCATTTAAAATCATTTCCAAACCACACCAGGCAGGACATATCTGACCTTGTGACCCTTCCAATCTGAACAAAAGTGATCTGACCAGTTGCATTTCTTACTACTGATTTTTTTCTGAGGTTATCCCATTGTGAATTTAACTTATTTCATTATCAGTGCCAAGTTTATCTTACCATAAGATGTCTCAGATGAAGCTCCTCTCGTGTTTATTTTTCTCTAGGTTTCATTTCTCTTTCTTAGGAACGTGCTTAAAAAGCTGGAACTAAAAAGCCAGGATTAAAAATAGACACAGAAAATGCTGATGGTGTTTTATTAGTTTATGAGGTCTTGTGTAAACTTCCTGGAACCAGCTTTGGACAGAGCAAGGGTGGAAACACAAGCTGGCATCATTAAATCCCAGGTTTATAAAAAAACAGTGCTATGTTTGTCAGATCTTTGATTGTTATGCATGTTTTAGGAGGAATATCAAGCCCACCTGATTGCAAGGAAAATCATTAACGTCTCTAGAGTAGGGACAGGCAAAATACGGGCCACAGATTGGATCCAGCCCACCATGCAATTTTATCTAGCCTACGGGTACCTACCAATTAATTGTACCCTGCCAGCCCATGCACCTCACTCCCACCCTCATGTGCAAAAGGGCCCAGCCTAGCCAGCGCACAACTTCCAAGCAGGGCTACTACTGCAGCTGCCAGGGGACCTGCTTGGCTTCCCCAGTGTCCAGCGGCTCCTCCTCATTGCCTTGCTGCAGCACTCTGAGCAGCAGGTAGGGAAGCGGTCTGGTGGAGGAGAGCATTTGGGCAGGGGTAGGGTGCATGGGGGTGGGGCTGGTGGGAGCATAAAGCCCACATCCAGGGGAGGTGGTGGGAACGTGGAACTCAGGTGAGGAGGGTATGGATGTGAGGGAGGGTGGGGGGGTGTGAACACCCCCTGACACACTCCCCCCACATGGCATACAGCTCCACCAGTGGCAGCAGCAGGCCCTTGGGGTGCTCATGGCCTATGCAGATGTGCACATGCACGGTGTGCAGCTCCAGCCAATTCCAGGAGCTGCATGTGGCTGCAGGGAGCACAGCCAGGCTGGTCTGCCTCTATCAGGCAGCTGCCAGCACTCGCGCACCACTGTGGGGAAGCCCCACGCAATGGAGCTGGGTACCTTCCCTGCTCCTTGCCAACATGTGCAGCTACCGGGAAGTAGGAGATGGGGCTCCCCACCACTTCTGGCCATGCAATAGAGGCAGGATGGCCTGGCTGTGCTCCTTGCCACCACGTGCAGCTCCTGGAAGTGGCTGGAGCTGCATGCTACCAGGCAGCAGTACCTGCATGGACCACAAGCACCCCAAGGGCCTGTCACCTACTGCTTCTGCAGCCAGCAGCAGGGGCTGTGCGCCATGGAGGTGTGCGGGGAGGTCCACACATCCTCCCACCCTCCCTCACACCCCACAAACCCCACTCATCCACACCCTGCTCCACAACACCCCCACATATACACATACCTCCACAACATACTGTACACCCCCCCGCACAGCCACACCCCCTCACAAACCCCACACACACACCCCACCACCCACCATACACACACACACCCAACCACACACACAATATACAAAAGTAAGATTTTATTTTGTCTCATTATGCAATCACCTTTATATACACCATGCAAACACAAATCGTGACAAAAATATTTGTCATGCTAAGTGAAAGCTAGCTGCTTTCAAGTTGACAAAGCCAGATGTGATGCACCCTTGGGTACTGAAGGAATTGACTGAGGTTATTTTGGAGCCATTGACTATCCTCTTTGAAAACTCATGGAGGTTGGGTGAAGATCTGGAGGACTGGGAAAGGGTAAATTTAGTGCCCACCTTTAAGAAGGGGAAAAAGGAGAATCCAGGGGACTACAGACCAATCAGCCTGACCAGTATACCTGGAAAGATCATGGAGCCAGGTCCCAAAGGAATCCTTGGTGAAGCACCTGAGGGAGAACAAGGTGATCAGGAACAGCCAGCATGGATTCACTAAGAAATTCATCCCTTACCAACCTGCTTTCCTTCTGTGATAAGGTGACAGGCTCTGTGAATGGGAGGAGAACAGTGGATGTGATATGCCTTGACTTTAGCAAGGCTTTTGGCACTGTCTTTAACAACATTCTCATTAAGAAGCTAAGGAAATACAGACTAGACAAAAGTACTGTAAGGTGGATGCATAACTGGTTGAATAATCACACTCAACAAGTAGTCATTGATGGCTCAATGTGTAGATGGAAGGGGGAAATATTAAGTGGGGATCCCCAGGGATCTATCCTGGGTCTCGTATTATTTAATATCTTCATTAACAATTTGGATGATGGGATTGAGTGCATGCTTAGCAAAGTTGTGGATGACACCAAGTTGGATGGAGTTGCAGATGATTCAGAGAGTAAGGCTGGGATCCAGAGTGACTTGAATAGACTGGAGAAATGGTCCACAGTCAATTGCATGAGATTCAATGAGGACAAGTAACAAGTCCTGCACTTGGGACAGAATAGTTGCATGCACAAATACAGACTGGTGGAATGATTGGCTAGACTGCAATACTGCAGAGAAGGACCTGGGGATAGACCATAAGCTGAATATGAACCAACAGTGTGTTCTTGATGCAAAAAAAGCCAACAGCATCCTGGGTTGCATTTACAGGAGTGTCACTTGCAAATCAAGATAAGTGATTCTTCTGCTCTATTCTTCACCAGTAAGGCCTCATCTGTGTCCAGTTTGGAGCCCCATACTTCAAGAAAGACATGGACAGTTTGGAAAGAGTCCAGCACAGGGCAACAAAAATGATCAGGGGCCTGGGAAGTGAGACTTATAAGGAAGGGTTGAAAGAATTAGGGCTATTTAGTCTGGAGAAGAGAAGACTGGCAGGGGGGAGGGATTTGATAATAGTCATCAAATACCTAAAGGCAATTATAAAGAGGATGGAGATGGGATTTTCTCTGTGGCTGCAGGGGACAGGACTAGGAGCAATGGCCTCAAGCTGCAGGATGGGAAATTTAAATTGGAGATTAGGAAGAGGCTTCTGACTATCAGGGTGGTCACACGCTGGAACAGCTGTCTAGAAAAACTGTGGACTCTCCATACTTGGAAGTTTTCAAGTGTAGGTTAGACAAACACCTGGTTGGGATGGTTTAGTCAGGGATCATCAGAGGTGGATAATTAGTGCAGCTGCACCCCTTTTGGGGCTGGATTGCAAACATAAAAATGCTTTAAAGTCCTCAAAGCATGTGAGAACCCCAGCCACTCTTCCCCTCTGCTTTCAAAGGAGCATCCACTTCCCCTTGCCTTTCCCCCCTCCCCTGCCTGCCAGTGCTTCTTCTGCCACTCTCCTGGGAGAAGGGGAAGCTCTAAAGTCACTCCTGCCAACTCCTGCCTTGCTGCATGGGTGCTAGGCT